TATTGTATATCAATTGTGTATTTCAGTTTTAAAAAATCAATAGACAATAAATGTGAGAGTTTATTTCTGATCTTGAATTCTATTCCATTGATCATTGCCTACCTGTATGGGAGTACTACAACATCTTGATTGCTGTAGTTTTGTAGTAAGTTTTGAATTTAGGAAATGTATATCTTCCTTCTTTGGTCACTTTCAAGAGAGTCAGGCTATTCTGGTTCCTTTGCATTCCCACATATGTTTTAGGCTCCATTTCATTGATATCTGCAAAAAAGGATTTTGAGATCTATTGCATTAAATCTCTCGGTGGGTTTAGAATGTATTGCTATTTTAACAGTATTACATCTTCTGTTTATGAACATGGGCTGTCTCCATTTATGTATTGAGATTTAATTTATTAACAATGTCTTGTAGTTTTCAATAAGTTTGGTAGATGATGTATTTGTATGACCATCATTCTACTTCATCATTTTACAACGTGCAGCCTGAAAAGGTTACTTGACATCAGTTGCCCTTAACATTTTAAGTCTCCAAAAACAGTGATCCTCAACTTGTTTGCATGGTAGAGTCACTTCTATCTATCAATCTATATCAATGGATGTTTCCATATCTTGGTCATTGTAAATAATGTTGCAGTAAACATAGGAGGGTATATATCTTTTATTTATTTTTTTAAGGTTAATTTTTTTTACTTTCGTTATCATTAATCTACAATTACATGAAGAACATTATGTTTACTAGGGTCCCCCCATCACCAAGTCCCTCCCACAAACCCCATTACAGTCATTGTCCTTCAGCATAGTAAGATGTTGTAGAATCACTACTTGTCTTCTCTGTGTTGCACAGCCCTCCCCATATTATACATGCTAATCATAATACCCCCTTTCTTCTTCCATGCCCTTATCTCTCCCTTCCCTCCCATTCTCCCCAGTCCCTTTCCCTTTGGTAACTGTTAGTCCATTCCTGGACTCTGTGAGTCTGCTGCTGTTTTGTTCCTTCAGTTTTTCCTTTGTTATTATACACCACAGATGAGTGAAATCATTTGGTATTTGTCTTTCTCTGCTTGGCTTATTTCACTGAGCATAATACCCTCTAGCTCCATCCATGTTGTTGCAAATGGTAAGATTTGTTTTCTTCTTATGGCTGAATAATATTCCATTGTGTATATGTACCACATCTTCTTTATCCATTCATCTACTGATGGACACTTAGGTTGCTTCCATTTCTTGGCTATTGTAAACAGTGCTGC